CCAACATACCCAAACAATATTGGTCACACAGTACTGAGTTCTGTGTTCACTAACAAGATGCATGGATGGATGAACGAATGAATGGATGTATGGTTTCCATGTCTGGCTGCAGGGTTGGGAGAGCAGGAAGACCCCAGGCCCTCCTGTTCCCCATCTGCTGGGACCACCAGAGAATGGCTAGCATTTCAAGGTTCTGTTGCCACCCCTCCAACACACCCTACTATTCCCGGCCCCTACATCTTTCCTTCTGTGTTTCCCTTCACCTGTTCTGCTGATGCCTCTGACTGTTGAAACCCCATCAACCTTCAAGGCCCAACTCAAATGTCACCTTCTTCAGATTCTCCCTTGACTCAGTTGGAAGAATCTCCCTTCTCTGAGCTCTGCAGCCTTCCGGCTGAAACTCTGTGTGGTGTAAACACCTATCTCCTCCTATAGACCATAAGCAACTTGAGGATGGAACATCTGTATTCCTTTTGGTAACCCCTGACACAGAGCAAGAGCTCAACAGACATGCTGGACTGAAGTATGGTGGGAGGATTGACTGACAGCTGGATGGACATAAGAAAGGATGGCCTGGGAGGTGGGTCACAGTGGGAGCACCACCGATCTCCCAGGGAGCCTCAGGCAGAGACTCCAAGACCAGGTTCCAGTTCAAACTTTTTTCCTAGCTGGGACTTTAAGCAAATTGCTTCCCCACACTGGCCCTCAGTTTACATGTCTGTAAAATGCAGATAGTAGTAGTAACCTCATGGTAACATGTAAGCTTTTTTTTTTTTTGAGACTGAGTCTCGCTCTGTCACCCAGGCTGAAGGGCAGTGGCACGATCTCAGCTCACTGCAACCTCTGCCTCCTGGATTCAAGCGATTCTCCTGCCTCAGCCTCCTGAGTAGCTGGGATTACAGGTATGTGCCACCACGCCCAGCTGATTTTTGTATTTTTAGTAGAGATGGGGTTTCTCCACATTGGCCAGGCTAGTCTCGAACTCCTGACCTCAAGTGATCTGCCCACCTTGGGTGCCTGCCTCCAAAAGTGCTGGGATTACAGGCATGAGCCACCGTGCCTGGTCCAACACATAGGCTTTTGAAAGAAATAAATGATCTAACAATGCTTTGAAGTGCATGGCAAAATGCCGAGCACATAAAATATACTCAACAAATGTCCATATTATTATTATGGACACAAATTTGAGCCTAGGCTGGGGCTCCTTCTTCTCCCTTTGGAGGCCAGGGTCACGGGGCTAAGCTCGGGGACTCATTACAGAGAGTAGAGATTCAACAGGGATGCAGGACACGATCCATTTTGTGTACATTCCTTCCTTTCTTCATTCAAAAAGTTGGGGGTGGCTGGGCATGGGGGCTCACGCCTGTAATCCCGGCACTTTGGGAGGCCAAGGCAGGCAGATCATGAGGTCAGGAGATCAAGACCATCCTGGCTAACATGGTGAAACCCCGTCTCTACTAAAAATACAAAAAAATTACCTGGGCATGGTGGCGGGCGCCTGTAGTCCCAGCTACTAGGGAGGCTGAGGCAGGAGAATGGTGTGAACTCGAGAGGCGGAGCTTACGGTGAGCTGAGATCGCACCACTGCACTCCAGCCTGGATGACAGAGTGCGACTCAGTCTCAAAAAGAAAAAAAATTTTTTTTTTTTAAATTTGTTTTTTGAGATAGAGTCTCGCTCTGTCACCCAGACTGGAATGCAATGGCATGATCTCAGCCCACTGCAACCTCCTCCTCCCGGGTTCAAGCGTTTCTCCTGCCTCAGCCTCCCAAGTAGCTGGGACTACAGGCATGCACCACCATGCTTGGCTAATTTTTGTGTTTTTTATAGAGATGAGGTTTCATCATGTTGGCCAGGCTGGTCTCAAACTCCTGCCTTCAAGTAGTCTACCTGCCTTGGCCTCCCAAAGTGTTGGGATTACAGGCATGAGCCACTGTGCCCAGCCAAACAAGTATTTTTTGAACATCTACTTTGTGCCAGGCACTGGGGATTCTGCATGGGACAAGACAAAGTCCCTGTCCTCACGGAGCCGACATTCTAGTGCAGGAAGCTAGAGAAGAAGTGAAAAATAAGCAGATAGATAATTTCAGAGAGTAAACACCCTATAAACGAAAGAACAGGGCTTTTCCCCAAGAATGACTGGGGTTGATCAGAGAAGGCTTTTCTGAGGAGGCAGATTTAAACTGAAACCTACAAACGGGAAGGAGGCATCTGGGAGAACAGTCCAGAGCAATGTGAGGAGCAGAAAAAAAGCTGGTGAGGGTGGGTGAGAGTGAATGAGAGGTGGGAGACAGGGGGAGGGAGCCTGAGGTGTCCAGGGCGAGCCTTGGTGACTCCTGGCCGCTTGAAGAGGTTTTATCCTAAGTTTGACAGGAAGCCAGTGTAGGATTTTTTGTTTGTTTGTTTGTTTTTTCAAATTAAGGTGGGGTCTCACTTTGTTGCCCAGGCTGGTCTCAAACTCCTGGGCTCAAGCAATCCTCCCACCTCAGCCTCACGAAGCGCTGGGATTATAGGTGTGAGCCACCGTGACTGGCCAATGTAGGGTTTTGAGCAGAGTGGGACACATGGGAAATGACCAGGGAGACAGTGGATCCAGGGACGGGGAGTGACTCCATTCTGAGTATTTTGGGGTATCAAGTGAGCAGGACCTTCTGCTACACGTGGAAAGGAGGGAAGGAGAAGAATCAAGAATGCCCTCGAGTTTTTGGCTGTTGCAGCAAGGTAGATGGTTGAAGCATTTCTTGATGCCTAAGCCAACTGGAGAAGGGCAGGAAGCGTTTTAATTTGGACGTGGAAAAGTGTGTCCTGCTTATCCTGCTTACAAAGAAAATATTCAATCAGGGAGATGGCTGCTGTTCATTAGATAATACAGGTTTAGAAGTTAGGGCTGGGGTTACAGATTGAAAACTCATCAGCTTAGAGATGCTTTTTAAAGCACGAGATGGCATAAGATCAGCTAGGGGAAGTGGGGACCCTGGAAAACCTCAGAGTCAGATGGAGAAGAAACCTCAGGGTCAGGAAAGTGGAAAGGGGCAGGGCTGGGCAGGAACCAGGAGAAGATTTCACCAAAGCCAAGAGAAGACAGCATGGCAAAGATAGGGTGACAGCTGTGACAAACACTGCTGAGGGATTGAGGAATGTGAGAGTGGCCCAGGGTTTGGTCACAAGGAAGTTGATGGGGTCTGAGTCTTGGAGATGGGAGCTGACAAAAGAGAAAGTGTGCTTGTGGTATAGACAGTGTCTTGAGGTTTCCTGTTATGAGAGAGAGCAGAGAAAGAGGCATTATCTGGAAGGAGTGTGGGCTTGAAAGAGAGCTCTTGTTTGTTTGTTTACGATGAGAGATATTACAGCACCTCCCTATGTGGATGGGGGAGATCGGGCAGAGAGGAATATATTTATCTTGTAGGAGAGTGAGGGGACAATGGCAGCAGCAAAGTCCTTGAGAGGGGCTGGCCTCTCCTAGACAGGACCAGAGTCAGGATGGGGCCGGCAGCATCTGTGAGCCAGAGGCAGGTAGCAGGGCCAGATACGGTACAGAGAAGGCAGGGGCTCCTAACATCCCGGTCTCACCAAGAGGCATGGCTTCTAGCACCAGCTCAGGATTTCCTGTGTGACCTGGGCAAGATACTGAATCTTTCTGGGCTGTGCTTCCCCAGGGTGAAGGGAATTGGGAAGAAATCCAATCCCCATCTGACTTCCCTCCTGGGGTTAACACATTTGCCCCAGACTGTCGGAAAACCCATCTGATGGGTCCCTAGCACTGAGATGCCACCAGCTTTGGCCTGAGATGAAGGTCATCTCAAAGGTCAGCTGGGCCTTGTTACTGAGCAGGTATCAGGCGCCCAGGGGCTGTGCCACTACCACCCCCAGTCTCTCACCCCTTAGGGATACCATGAACAAAAAAGTCTGACTCAATTTCTCTATGACAAAGGAAGAAAATGGCTCGATGGGCAGTTCTAGGGGTGTGGGGTGGGGCAGGAGGCAGCAGGGTGGCGAGAAGACAGGCTTTGGCACCAGATCACACCCCCAACTCTGAACCTCCCAGCTGTGTGATTTGCCAGAGGCCGACTGACTGAAGATTGAACTTCAAGGCCTTCCTCCTGGACCCTTCCCAAACCCCCAAGCTAATATCAGATGAATACTTTTGTGTTCTTTTGCTTACAGACTGGGGCCAAAGGTGTATAATATACAAGTTCCATGAAACTCAGATCTGCCCTGGGACTTTGACTAAGTGACTTCACCTCACCTTCCCCATCTGTCAAATGGGACAGTCAGGCCTGACCTCTTAAGATGGCAGAAAGGGTTACTGGGTGCCTAGGACAGGGCAGGCATTGGGGGCTCAATTTAATGAGAGATGAAGTTATGACTTCTTCGGGGGGTGGAGGAGGAGGGAGTGACGCCTGGTTGTGCCCAGCTCCCCCTCCATCTGGGGCACAGTTTTTGTGCTGTCTACCTGCAGGGGTCCCCTCTTCCAACTCCCACCCCTCCTCCTCCGCAGACTTAGCCCTTGAATACACAGGTGAACTCTTCCTCTTCCTGTTTATGCTCTTAAAGACGCAGACTGCCTGCAGCCAGCTTTCTCCTATTCTCCTTCCATCCCTCTTCACTGTGCTGCTGCTCACCCGGCCTTCCCCTCCCCACAGCCATCCCGTCTCAGCCCCCATGGAGCCCAGTCCAGGGCTAGGTGGGCACACAGTAGGCAGATCAGCTCCATCTGCCCCTCCTGCATCTCCTTGATGGAACTGGTTTCCTGTTTCCTAGGGCAGTAGGCTGCAAACCCACCTAAGCAATTCACACTGGGCTCCTACAACTGGGTGCCAAGCAAAAGCCCCTTTTGACCTCCTAGCCTCAGTCCTCAGGAGGAGCAGGGGGCGATAACCTCACTTCCAGGGCAGCGGCAGCGAAGAAGTTATGCTGGAACCTAGGGATGCCCGATCCCGGCCCAGACAGTCCCTCCCCTGCCCCCTGGAGTTATTTGTGCTCAGAACACCAAGTCCTTACCTTACTGGGGACGAGGATGGGCAGAGGCAGCAGGAGAATGGGCAGGAAGAACACGATCAGGTAGGAACGATAGGCCCACAGGGCCTGCCAGCAGGTGGCCATGGTATGGACCAGTGAGGGCTGCCACAGCCACCACCTCCAGGAGTTGGGGAACAGAAGGACCAAAGACGCAGCCCAGCAGGAAGGTGGCCTGAGCAGGCTTATATAAAGCCAGCTGAGCGTTAACCATTGACCCACTCTGGCAATCAGAGTGTTTTTGGAGTCAGGGAGGTGAGAGTAAGGAGGAGGGACCCACAGGCGGAGTAAAGATCAGGAAGGGAGAGGGAGAGGGAGGGAGGAAAGAACAAGGATTAAAAAACTTCAGGTTCCTTCAAGAAGTTAAGCCCAGCGTTAACTCCTTCTGTTCTTGGAAGCTGCTGAGGGTGGCACTGAAGGAGCTGGAGAAGGAAGGAGGGTCCCCCAGCCACCCTCCACAGGCAGTCCCCAAGCCCCCTCCCTTGGCCCGGCCTTTCCTTTCTCCTTCTGTTCTCCAAAGCCAGGTTCTCAGCTGAGCACTTTATGTGAGAGCCTGGGTGGGGTGGCCCTGCCCTGCCCACAGAGATGCCCTAGGAACTTCCAGTCTAAGATTGACAGCAGCCAAGGCCTGGAGCAAGTCCTCCTCCTCCTTCTTCCAGGTATCGAGGACCATCAAAGTCCCTGGTCCTGACTATGTCTTGTGTGACACTGATCTGCTGGTTTAACCTGTCAGAATAGCCACTTCCTCATTCTGCAGTAATATCTTGCTATTGCGAGGCTCAAATTAGACAACTTATATACGTTGAGCTTTGATGCGTGGCAGGTGTACAATGAAGGTTAGTTTCTTTCAGGCTCTTCCTAGTCCCCTCGCCCCCCAGCAAAGATTGTTTCTTATTTTGGAACATACTAGATCTCTCATTCCATCCATCCATCCATCCATCCATCCATCCATCCATCCATCCATCCAGTCAAGTCGATCAAAATCCGTCCGTCACGCAAGCGGTGTTTGGCACCGGTTGTGTATTCGGCCGCAGCCTTCGGTGCTGAGATGCGGAAGTTAAGGTAGCAACAACGCCCTTGCTCTCTACCACCTACTACTAAATGAAATGTGTCATCCACTTTCTTATTACTCACCACTTAGTACAAGGCAGCCATCCATCCATCCATCCATCCATCCATCCATCCATCCATCCATCCACCAAGCAAGTATTTAGCACCAATTATGTATTCAGCCCTGTGCTCAGTGCTAAAGATACAGAGATTAAAATGCTGCTGCTGCTGCTGCTCCTGCTGCTGCTGCTGCTGCTGCTGGTGGTGGTGGTAAAAACTGACATTTGCTCAGCACTTAGTACAAGGCAGTTACTGTACTGCATCAACTCGGTAACTACACCATGGGTTAGGTGTTACTATTCCATTTAACAGATGGGGGAACTGAGGACATGGAGCCAGCCAGAATTCACACATGCATTAAGGGTACCCTGAGGGAGGTCCAAACCAGGGTAGAAGTTCTGGGTGAAGGGCACCAGGCAAGGGCTCCTGGAAGAGATGGCATCCAAGTGAAGGCTTAAGAGCTCAGTCTTATTTGTCACGAGGTGATAGGGGAAGGAGCACAAGGAGAGGGAAGAGTGAACGAAGGCCTGGAGGGTGATGTGTGCATGTGCGTGCGTGCGTGCGTGCGTGCGTGTGTGTGTGTGTGTGTGTTGAACAGAACAGGTTGTAGTTTGGAAGAAACTATGGGTCTTAATCTCTGGCCAGACCCTCAGTCTCTTGGTACCCTCACCCCTCCTCACCCTGACTGCACGCAGTTGAAGGTCAATGCATGTTTCTGAGGTTATCACAGTATGATGATATGTGGTCAGGATAAGGAGGCGCGGTATCAGGAGAATGTTTTAGGCGGCGAACACAGTCAGGGAAGAGATGCAGAAGTGTGGGGATGTTTAGAGAACACAAAGTTCTGCGTGGTTGGAATGTGGGTTTGCGGGGGACAGGATTAAGAGCTGATAACTATAGTTCTAGGTGTACTAGAGCATGGCGTGGGCTGTTATGCCACCGAGACACTCCTGGAGCCAGTGGAGCTTTTATGAGAAAGGCCCTGGTGCTTTCTGCAGGGCGGTCCTAGAGGTCAGAGGGACCCAGGTTGAGGGCTCCTGGAGCGAGGCCAGGCTGGGTAGGATGCTACAGTAACACAGGACAGGATAGCCACCCCAGTCCCCCTTCAGGCCTGGCTCCTTCACTGCCACACAGTGACCTGCCACCTGCTCAGGGCAAAGTAAGCAAGAGCCAGGAAGGACAGGGAGAGACAAACGGTTTCGGACACTCAGGACAATGCCCCGATTTTATCTCACCTTGGAGGAAGTGTCTCCCATGGCCTGAGGCTCTTAAGGAGTCAGAAGAAAAACGAGGCCAGCTTCACCCTCAGGAACAACATTCACCACGTGTAAAATCTGCATCCCGGTTTTATCTAACTCTCCACACCAATCCTGTGATGTAGGCTCAGGGCAGTGAGGTTACTTGTCTAGAGTCACACACCTTGTGAGTAACACAGAGAATGCAGATTTGCTTCCAGGAAGGCTGTGCCCTTGGCTCAGCCCTCCATTCTCTGGCCTCCTTTGATGGAGCTGGAACAAAATTCGGTGTTTCCAAGTGGGATGGCTACTATTTTACTGAGACCCTCTGACTTCCCCCTACAGCTCTCTTCTAAGACATAGGCTTTCAGGACCTTCTTTGACTCTTTTTTTTTGACCCAGTGTTGGGGGGCTATTGCATCACCAGCAGCCAGGCCCCATCAGTGATCAATTCATCTCAAAGGGGTGTCCCAGGGCCAGTGGGAAGCCTCCAGCTGTCATATTCATTACAAAAGCTTCCCCTTTGCCTGGCAGTCACATCTAGGGCCCCACACTGCCAGGTCTTATTCAATATTCCGGTTTGCCCCATCCCCTTCTCCTTTAACTAATGGAGCAGATAACTGTGACTTTTTCTGTGGCTCCTAATGAACTGTGAGTAACATATGGTAGTTGCCTGGCTGGCTTCTTCAGTCTTTGTTGGGGCCTTCCCTGTGACGGGTCTCTGTACTATCTCAGGAAGGCGTCACTACCAGGAAACACCTACCCTGCACTTTGTCCATTGCCTCTCCTGGACACAGCCATCAGAGATTGGCTGCAAGTCCTTCGGGGAGAGGAAATGGTCTCTGGCTTACAAGAGGCAGCTTGTCCTCAGAAGCAGGTGGCTGATAAGCTGGAGATAGAGCTGGGGCTGGGTCACAAAGGTGGCTTTTAGGAAGTTTATATCTGAACATGTGAGGCAGGCTTTAAGACAGGGGCTCTTGAGGCAACCCAGCATTGTGCAGGCTGGGCCTGGGGCCCACAGTGGCACAACTCCAGGGATCCTAGAAAGGCGGGATGGCTGGACATATGAGGGAGCATCAGGAATTGTTTCTTTTTTTTTTTTTTTTTGAGACGGAGTCTCGCTCTGTCGCCAAGGCTGGAGAGCAGTGGTGCAATCTCGGTTCACTGCAAGCTCCGCCTCTCGGTTTATTTACGCCATTCTCCTGCCTCAGCTTCTCAAGTAGCTGGGACTACAGGCGGCAGCCACCAAGCCCGGCTAAGTTTTTGTATTTTTAGTAGAGACAGGTTGTCACCATGTTAGCCAGGACGGTCTCGATTTCCTGACCTCGTGATCCGCCCGCCTCGGCCTCCCAAAGTGCTGGGATTACAGGCGTGAGGCGCCGCACCCAGCCAGGAATGATTTCTAAGACCTGAGACCGCCCAACCTAGAGGAGAGAAGATAGGGTACGGGTGGTGACAGTCATCAAATCCTTGATTGAGGAAGAAGAGATGTTCTTAAGGATCATCTTAAGAACATCTTAAGAGAGGATCACAGGATAGCGGGCTAGGGAGGCACGTGGGGCTGTTTGAAAGAAGACCACTCTCCCTTGAAAAGAAGCGCCCTCCTGGGTGGCTGGCGCACCCTGAGTCAGTAGGGAGGTGGACTCGGGGTTGGGCATCCTATTTATAGCTCTGAGAATCCGGGACCCCAAATCTGACTCCAGGTGCTCTGACCGTTCCCTTCATCTTCCATAGTCTCTCCAAATGGGTCCACAGTTTTTTTTTTTTTTTTTTTTTTTTTTTTTTTTTTTTTTTTTTTGAGACAGAGTCTTGCTCTGTGGCCCAGGCTGAAGTGCAGTGGCGCGATCTCTGCTTACTGTGACCTCCGCCTCCTGGGTTCAAGCGATTCTCCTGCCTCAGCCTCCTGAGTAGCTAGGACTACAGACACGTGCCACCATGCCCAGCTAATTTTTTTGTATTTATAGTAGAGATGGGGTTTCACCGTGTTAGCCAAGATGGTCTCAATCTCCTGACCTCGTGATCTGCCCGTCTCAGTCTCCCAAAGTGCTGGGATTACAAGCGGGAACCACCGTGCCCGGCCACAAAATTTGTTTTATACGTGTTCAAATCCACCCCCCTCTGCAACTTGCAAGGTGCTCAAAAGGTGCCTAAATGTCCCTATAAGATCCAGTTCTCTCTTTCCTCTTCCACCTCAGCCCTCACCACTCCTGCCTGCAGTCAACAATATGCCAGACTCAATTGTTTTCAGATCCTCATTTGGGTCCTGCAGTTTGGAAAATCTCCAGGCAGTTCCCACGCTCTTGCTTCTTGTAAGCATATTGTCCCTGACTCCTCCTCCTTACTCTACTGGTTCGGTCTTGTTTACCTTTCAAGCCCTAAGACCGAACTTTCTTTGTGAACTCTCATCACAGACAGGATCAGGTCCCCTGCAAAGTGCCCTGGATATCACAGCACATGTCATGCTGCATTGCATTCTCCTGATAACCCATCTTTGTCCTCCAGCAAGACTACAGGCTCCCCCCAGGCACAGACTGTCTGTATGGACCTGGCACAGAGCTGGTACTCAACAAGTACATGTTGAAAGAATGGATGGATGGGTGGATGGGATGCCCATAAGATAATTTGTAAGGTTTATGGCAGAGAGCCAAGCCCTCCTTCCAGCATGTTCTGGAGCTAGTCCCTGGAGCTTCAGGCAGGACATATAGGGGCCATTGGTCAGACCACCAGGCAAAGAAGTGAATGGGTTTTCATTACCATCAAGACCGTGATGAGGAGATAGGGAGTAACCCTTCCAGAGCCAGCTCTGTCCATCGGCTGTGGCTGTTGGAGGCTGGGCAGGGACCCAGGGAGTATTCTGATCCTAAAAGAGATCCAAGGCTCATTTATACACAATCAGTCCAAGAACCACCTTCTTGTATCACCAAGTAGCAAGGCTCATTCTTTCTCCTTCTAAGTCTCCAGTCCCAGTTCTCTTTAACAATTGTGATAAAACTCACATAATGTAAAAGGACCATCTTAACCATTTTTAAGTGTACAGCTCAATGCTGCTAAGTATACGTACACTGTTGTGCAACCAACTTCAGAACTTTTCATCTTGCAAAACTGAAACTCTACACTCATTAAACAACTCACTTCCTCCTTCCCCCAGTCTCTGGCAACCTCTTTTTTACTTCATGTTTCCTTGAGTTTGACTAGTCTCAATACCTCATAGAAATGAAATCATATGGTTATTTGTCTTTTGTGAAAGGTGTATTTCACTTAGCATAATGTTCTTAAGGTTCATCTATTTTGTGTTATGTGTCAACATTTTTATGGCTGAATAACATCCCATTCTATGTATAGCCCACATTTTGTTTATCTGTTCATCTGTCGATAGACATTTGGGTTGCTTTTACCTTTCAGCTATTGTGAATAACCCTGCTATGAACGTGGGTGTACAAATATCTCTTTGAGACCTTCCTTTCAATTCTTTTGGATATATACTGAGAAGCAGTATTGCTGGATCATCTGGTAACTCTGTTTCGTTTTTATTAAGGAAATGCCATGCTGTCTGCCACAGCAGCGGCACCATCTTACATTTCCACCAACAGTGCACAAGCGTT